AAACTAAATAACAGTAAACCTTTTTTTGATTTACGGTATTTTCTTATTTTGATATTTTGAGCTCTTTTGTGTTTAGAACAATATATACTAATTTTTAAAGTATCAAATTAAATTTTTGTTCAATAAAAATCTTTCAAATGCGACTGTAGCTTTTTCCAAAAAATAAACTTTGTCTTCAAAATAAGGGTGCGTCTTATATTCCGAAGAATACGGTAAACGGACGTTTACATATTGGTTAATAATGCTTTTTATCTTACTTATGAAGACTGGAATATAACTGTATATTGTAATTATATATGGGATAGGAAAAGAGAAGTGTTATGTAGTGAAAACCCATTATTTTATTTTATTTTCATTTACAAAGGAAAGGTAATCTTAAATCAACACTTACTTGAAGAATAAAGATACTTTGAATAAAGAAGGAGTTTGGAAATATATTATAATAGTAACGCAAATTACATGCATATATATATAGATATATATGTCTAATTCACTGAGGGCAAGACTGTTTATTGATTTGTTCCAATAGTCTTCATTCACAGTCATAGAGAGTAAAAAGAACTGCTGACTCATCTAGTTGTATACATCGCTAGAGCTGACTTTAGAAAATGGCCGTAGTTGAAGTGCCTAAGGCTTGGTATAAGAACCACTTAAAATGAGACAGAGTTTTGAGTTCCAAATCTTCCATTGTCTAGTTGGTATATAAGAGCTTAGGAATAAAAAAAGAAACGACGTTGTACTTTCCTTCGTATACCCAGTATCTTTAAATAGCCATCTCATTGATCAAACTATTCTCTGTTGAAGTAATAAAGATGTAAGAGTTTTTTTTGAAGACTTATCCTAAAAAGTTCTATATTCCCTTGGTAGCTTTCCATACAAAGATTTCTTACTTAAGCAAGGAGCTGGCGAGAAGAGAGCTATTCAAGTCCTCGAGATTTTTTTCTCTAAGGATTTAAGTGTTTTACAATTTTTCCGTTAAAATACACATAAAAAAAGATATAGATTTAGTAAATTATTATTGACGAATTATTATAAATTATTATTACGACTACTATTCCAACTGCTGGTAAATTTTATTTCTTCCGAACAACATTATACTATATTTTCTCTACATTGTTGGCCCAGCATGGACAAGTGGTTAGGATGCTCGACTCGCAACCTGAGAGTCGCGGGTCCTAATCCCCGTCCCACCAAACATGCTCGCCTTTTCAGCCGTGGGGGCGTTATAATGTGACGGTCAATCCTACTATTCGTTGGTAAAAAAGAAGCCCAAGAGTTGGGTGGTAATACCTAGCTGCTTTCCCTCTTCAAAAAACAAACAAACAAACTCTACATTGTAAAACCGGCAACATTTCCAAACTGTACTGAATAATTTTTAGAGTGTTTCAGAATCTAAAAAAAAAATTATCTTATAATCTTGTCCCTCGGTGGGACAGTGGTAAGTTTACTGACTTACAAAGCTAAGATCCGAGGTTTGATTCCCCACAGTGGACACAGCAGATAGCCCAATGTGCTCTAAAACAAATTCATAATCCTATATATCTTTGAAAAGACAAAATAAAAAGAAGACAGAGAGAGATGAAGAAACTACTTCAGTTAGGTTATCCGTTTTGGTGAAAAATATTCGATTTTCTTACATTTTCCACAATCATTACGTCAAATCATATACATTTTAAAACCGCAGTCTTTCCATCGCGAATCTCTTATTTGTAAAATTAACTCTAGTTAACACAGATCCTTAGTTTTTTCGTGGTGCTGTCGATATATACAGTTTATATATTTAGATATAACAATAAAAAACTGCGTGTATTTTAATGTTCTATTTCGCCTGAAGGAAGTAATCAGTAATCTGGAAAAACAAAACATTTTTCTCTGTTGTTGAGACTAATGCTACTTGTACAAAGTTCCTTAACTTAAGTTGTATCGATTAATAGCTTAGAATTTTAATCGTTTTAGTATCGTTAATTTTGTTTATATTCTGGTCATTTTGGTATGATAACTGAATAAAATGAATGTTTCTACTATCTGTATGTTTCACAAGATTGTTCCAATTATTACTGCCAGTAAACCTCGATGTTCCACTCATAACATCGGACATAACAGCACGAGAAACTTAGTGGTAATCTGGTCCTAACTTGTACGATAAACCTCATTAGAGGTCATTTATATTGAAACTGTAGTTGGAATCGCACAGAACGCTGAAATTTTTATTACTTGCGTTGAAATTGATAACTCAAAACAACTTAATCATCTTTGAAGAACGAAGTAGGTTTCCCATAAGTTTAGTTTAATGTTGTTGTTCTTGTGTTTTAAACAAGTAACTTATAATAAATAATTTCATTACTTTCTATGTTATATTAGAGTAACGTTGTGCTAATGTCCTTGCTTTAAAATATATTAACAAAGTTAATTAGAAATGGAGCTCATCGTTGAGACGCTTAGCAGTTTCTAGCACTTGCTAATAAATATTTACTGTACGATCTTACGCAACGAAGTATTTTATTACCAACTATCTAGGAATTGCAGCTATCATCATGCTCTTTTCTACCGGTAAGTTCACAAACTTACAACGCTAAAGTCCAGGGTTCGATTCTCCCCGATGGATCCAGCAGATAGTCAAATGTGGCCTTGCTTGTAGCAAACTCTATTGGTCTTTTAAGTAGGCGGCAAGGACGAATCATTATAACAAATAGTTTGTGTATTCAAATAATCGAAATATATTTTCTAAAGATAAACTATACGGTAATTATAAAGAAAACCACGTACTTAAAATTATTATATCTTAACCACTACCTGTCGTAGGGGAACAACATTTTATTAGAGGCACATTGAGATTCATAAGTTGAGTTCAGTGTTTCAAAACCATATTATATTACACACCTGATTAGTTTTTCTAGCAACGTAGCATTGCTTTTGTTTCTCTTCTTTCTCTCTCCCTTTTTACCAATGCCCCCCCCCCCTCACCTCAGTAGCTCAGTGGTAAATATCTAGCCTTCTAATGCTAGAAACCAAGTTTTGATACCCGTGGTGGGCACAGCACGGCAAACAATTAACAGAAAATTACCAATACCAGATTGATATTTTGAACAAAATGCATACAAGTTTGGAGAATCTCGTGAGGATAAGAGAGCACTGTCGAAAACATATGGTGTTTGAATTAGATTAATTTAGGGATAGACTTGATATACTGATTGAGAATGACGGAAAGCACATACAAATTATTCTGTGATCGTTTTTAAAGCACCAAGTACCGCACCCAAATATTCCCAAGTGTTGTGAAATTTAGTTAAGTTATAACAACTTTGATATTTTTATAACCACCCTGTATTTTAAATAACGCGGCCATCATGTAGTGAATAAGAATGTGGGAATGGGGTCGCGAAGATAAGAAACTGGTGTCGAGAGTAAACATCACTTTACTTTCAAAGATTTGAATTATTTTGGAAGGTCCAACAGACCAAGATCCATCAACCTATATGTATATGTGTTACTATTTTATTAAACATTATGTTAACGTTATGAATATTTGTGACAAATATAGCTTTTTTGTTCCCTACATACAACGTTTAGACAACCTTCATACAAACATAAAAGTTAAGTGTAACAAATTAACAATCAACAATTCATAAACACAAATGTATAATGATATCTATACTTTAGAAAACACATTACATGTTTCGACAGTACCTTGGTCTGTCTTCTTCCGATATAACACCAAAACTAAATATGTAAGGTTTGTATAGAAAGAGAATAGAAGCGTGGGAAAACGGAGTTGGGTTCTCAGACGTCAATTATCTTTCTAAATAAACCCTGTATACTTAATTTTGGTGTCATATCTGAAGAAGACAGACCAAGGTACTGTCGAAATACATAGTGTGTTTTCTACAATAAATATTGTTGTGCATATACATCGTAGCTAATTAATTTACTATTGTATTAACATCATGTGATTCTATACACAAGTAGAACAAAGTTAAACTAATGAAGATAAAATCTTAGTGAACTAAAGCGTAATTTCTATATAACAAGACTGGTAAATACGCACTCACACGCACAAATATAAGCATATAAAAGCGATACTTCAGGACTGTTTTATAAACACTTGTGCAGGATGGTTTTATCATCTCATATATTCACGGGAACGTGATATCAAACTTATTTATATTTACTTCGAACTACTATGGTATAATGTAGTTGATAAAAGCAAAACTTGTCAAACATTTACGACAATACTGTTTATTACATTCAGTCTATGTTCTGATCAGAAAGACTCCAAAGTAAAACAAGTAGCAGCAAACAAATGAAACTAGCAAATAAGTTAATACAAAAAGTGTATACATCAAGGTAATTAATAATCAAATATTTAAATTACACATAACTTTCAAAAAGAAACAAAAATATGGAGCACAAGCTATAACATCAAAAGTAGTTGATAAACCCATTTTGTTCTTTCTTTTTTAATTACTATGAACTTCGACAAAGCTTACTAGCAACTATAGTAGTCAAAGGCATTTTTTATCTCGGGTCTTTCCGCGGTCTTTCAAAGTCTTGGTCTTGAATTATTACAGACATCTTTCTTTTTTTTAAGAAAAAACAAAACAAAAACGGTTTTCAGAATGTGTCATGTTTTAGGATTTCCTGAACTATATCGCTGCGATATCCGTATCAAGCTTAGATTTACCTGAACACCACAGTATTTCAGAGATTATAGAGACCTGTATAACAGTAGTTTCATTCTATCTTTAAAAATTAAGTCAATTCCATGTGTCTAGCATGCTGCTCACAAACTATGAACGTCTCGTTTAGTACCAAAAAGAAACAATGTTGTCTTTTGGTGTTGCCCAGAGTTTAGACTTTTACAGAATATGTATTTTTACATTTTAAGACAAGATGACGACTGATCAGTGTATATAAACTTTTCTGGAACATAATGAAATTGCACTGTGCAAATCTCTTATTTTTGGAACTTATGTTACTTATCCACTAAAACAAATTAGCAAAGATGCCGTTAAAAGTTACTAATAAATATGCTTTATACAATCCTATTTCGAAAATAATTAAAGAAACATTCAATAGGCGCTCAAACTATAATTGTATCAAAATAAACTAAAACATTTTCAGTCAGTTAACTGTCGTCACTTCTAAATCAGCCAATAAACTATCATCCATCGTTCAGAAAACCTAATGTGTATATTTTTAATCTGTGAAAAAAAATGCTGTTTTTACACTAGCCGCTCAAATTTTGTTTACACTTACATCAATGTCCAGAAACTATTGTCCACTTCTATCATCAGTTAACATTAATTGTTTTACTAACGGTCATTGTTACGAAACAATAAAAAAATCCAATTTTTTATCTTATTTTATTTATTAAGAACTGTGGATGAACCAACATAATGTCGTTCTTGGTACGCCATCGTCAACAGTTAATCATTATTATTTAGGGAGAGATTAATCAAGGGCTTAGGCCTTTTTCTGTTTGAATCAGTGTAAAATATAAATTCTTTTTTAGAGTTTAAAGCTGTTTGGCAATTTCAATATTACTAGAATTATGCTTCATAAATACAGATTAACCTTATTCCCGTGTTTGTTGGTATTTTTTTAAATATTTGATAAAAAACTAATTCGTTTCACATATCTATCTTTGGTTTTTCTTTGAAAAATAACAAGAATGATTCAAGAAATTTAATGATATTCTAAATTTGAATATTTCTTTTTTTATACAGAAAACTAATTTATAATTACAAAATGCGGTATTTAACTCGCTTCTTTCTAGCAATCACACCCTCAAAATGATCACTAAGTGTTATTTGAAACTTCTTTGGCAATTTAGCGTTCTGAAGAAAATATTTTCCTATTTTTCACAAGATGTTTTTTACCCAGCAAATAAAATTCGTGAAAGGTGCCAGTGTTATTGGAAGTTCCTGTTTTGGTTTGTATCTTCCTTCGTTTATATCACAGTTTTTTGATACAACAGCAAAGGTACAGAATTGTGGGGTGAAACAATTCCTTTTCAACTTTTTGGATTTTATAAGGATGAACACTGTGTACACTAAATATTAATTGGTGCCTTTTTCCTGGCCGTACACTGAAAACTTTCCGCAAATCTTGTTTATCCAAATAAACAGGACAGAAAAATAGGGAGATGGTTTCTTGTATTGACAGTTCTCTGAGCTTGTCCAAACGAAAAGGTGTGCTTTCTAACCCATTTTACAACCTGAGGTGCAGTGGTTAGCTGATCTAGAAAAACCTTTAGACAGTTCCCTGAACTTGTAAACATAAAAAGGTGTGCTGTCTAACCCGTTTTCCAGCCTGATGTGCAGTGGTTAGCTGATCTAGAGAAACCTTTAGACAGTTCTCTGAACTTGTCCAAACGAAAAGGTGTGCTGTCTAACCCGTATTACAGACTGAGGTGCAGTTTGTAGCTGATCTAACGAAACCGGTAATACTTTGCCTGTACACCAATACACTGCCTGACACAAACTGCAGGCACCAAGTTCCTGTTTTCATTTACAAGTATAGATTTCTAATTCAGTCGTGCACTTGCGGCACGTGACGTAACAACACCAGTGGAATTTGCAGTGACATCGATTCACGTGTGTAACCACCTGGGTGTTGTAACCTCGTCCACAGCAGAGCAGGTTGCAGCCATCTGGACCTGTTGACGTTTTATTGCAAAGCCTGCCACTTGTTCCAAAGATTCCATTGGCTGGATCTTCTATACAATAATTCGGAGACTTGTTGATGTACACTAAGTCGTCCTTCCTCACAGGCACCTTTCGCTTTCCCCGTCGCCTTAGTCTTTTCCTCGGTTTCAAGGAGATTAGAACAGACTCGTCGTATTTCCTTTTGAGATAATTTCCAACTTCCACAAAAGATGGTAACTTCTTCCAACATGTTTTCAGCTCACATGATCCAGAGACCCCGTGACACCGACACTTCCTTTGCATATAACGCGATATTGCCTGAAATAAAATAATAAAAGTGATTAAAATCAATATAATAAGAATTCAATTTGTTATAAATGTGAATACAATCTTTTAACAAAAGATTTACTTTTTATGTCTTTCAGCGTCAGCAAAAACATCTTATTGCTTTATGTGATTTAACTTTATTTGTATGTGTCTCAGCTTCAGTAAGTACAACTTATAACATTACATGTTTTAAGTTTATATTTATGTATTTTAATTTCATTAAGCACATCTTATTAATTTGTGTTTTCTAAGTTGTAATTTTTACGTCTTCTACCCTTAGCGAGTATAATTTGTTATTAAAACTTATATTTCGTTTCACTTGGACCATTAAGAATTTCAACCAAGAGTAACTGACATCAGCGACTTCAATAGATAAGCTGGTTGTACTTTTGATATTAATTCTAAAGACGTCTTCGATCGATAAAAAAAGTTATCTATCCTTATACAGGGTGACACAAACGTCACGCACCACCACAATTTTTGTGGGTCTCGGTCTTAGAGCTGTTCGGAATGTACACAGTTGATATCACGACAGTGTCCTAACAGGACCCCTCTCATATATTCTTGAAATATTAATGACAACCCCAACCAACCATTGTAACAAAAGAAGAAAAAAAAGGATAGCTAGTGAAGTCGTGCTTGTGTTTCATTGTCTTTTTTTCTTTTGTTACAATAATTTTTTGAGATGGTGCACGATTTTTTCGTCATGTTGTATATCCATAATCATTTCCTGAATATTCAGGATATTTTTTTTAAAACATTTCACTAGAAATAACTTTCAGATTTAAATAGCAATCATCGCTATTCTCATGGTTAAATAAAAGTTTAAGATGTGGAATAAGTGTTACTAATATCACAAATAATAATGATAATATTCATTTACATTTAATATAACTTGACTTAAACATCTCGCTATTAGGGTTGCTATGGGAATGCATAACTTATTGTGACGTCACGTATCACAAATTGTTGAATATAGGTAATAACTACTTATGCAAGAGTAGCATCCATAAAAATATATATATATATAAGTCACTGTTATTGAGCATCAAAAATTGGTAATTTCAAATATGTCAATGTTAAACAACAAGAGTTTTTCCGGTCTTATTTGATATTCATATTATTTATATTAAATTATATTTTTATGTTATTCAAGAATAATACTTAAGTCCACGAAAAGTATATATTTAAAGTGTTGGAACAGAAATACAAACGATAAAGTTTTGTAAAAGCTTGATAACAATATCCAATGGACATACATATTGCCCTCAGTAATTTACCAGCTGCAGTGCAGCATAACACATGTGTTGTAACAATGCATTCTGAAAGTTCCATCCATTGTTGAGGATAATTCAGGTTTGAAATGGAGAAAGAAAAGTACATTCACATAAAACATGTTAAATTTCATCAAGGAAAAACAAAAGCCGAGGTTGAACAGCTAATTTTAGTACACAAAAAAGAACTGGAAAACTGCTAGGATACCCACCCATTAAGCTGTTAGTTGAGTTCGTGAACAACAGTTTTAAGGGCAGATGTTTATTAGTGAAATACAGTTGTAGGGACTGTGTTCAATATTGTTTGACACAATTTACTTTCTTAATCTCATTTGGCCTGGTGGTTAGGGCTGAGGGT